CCTCTCTCTTTAGGCTAATCCCCCCTCCCTCCCCCGTGAAAACATATCAAGTCACCCTTCTCTGGTAAGAAGTCATTATTCAACAAATATTTATCATGCACCCACTAAGTGCCTGACACTGCGCAAGGCATTGGAACCGCCTGCATGAAGTTCTGATGAGACAGTGCAGAAGATTCATAGTCTGTTCTCCTCTGACCCCATAATTTATTCCCAAGAAACCTCTTATTATCAAAAGCTATGTTATAAAAGCAACTGTTCAAAACTGGATAAAACGGAGTAAGAGGCCAAAGAGTTTCAGACTCAAAATGATCAATTCATTTTTCCTTTCCTGCAAGAATTTCAGTAAGGTATAAAGTAAAAGTTCTCACACCACTAAACAAGCCCAACTTTTAGTTATAACTAGTTTTTGCCCAAGAGCAAAGCCTTTCTTTTCCTAATCCAATTAGCACTGCCAAAAAAACCCCAAAAAACAAATATCACCCAATCTTGTGACAAAGCAGAGAGCCCACTTAAGCACTTTTCCCCTACTCAAGTAATAGTGGTTTAGCTTAATGCAAATTTGTGTTCCCTAAATAATCTACTGCGCATTACATCCAACACAATGCTATGAAAGGGGAAGTCGTGGAACACTGTGGAGTATGTAACAGGGGATCATATCCTGCAAGGGAGGGACAGGAAGGCCCCCCACTAAGGAAGTGAGACTTCTGGGACGAGTAGGAGGTACTTAATGGGGAAAACAGTGGTAGAAGTTGTGCTAAGGCAGAGAGAGCTACAATTATGAAGGCCCTCAGGGAAGAATGGACACATACATTTCAAGGAACAGAACCAGTGGAAAGAGGGAAGAAAGGCATATGGGGAGACAGACCATGTGTTCTTGTGAGCCACATAAGAATCTGAATTTTACATTATGATCAGTGAAAAAACCACTGAAGGTTTTCAGTAAGTAGGGACATAATTGTGCTTCATTTTAGCTACCTTCCCCACTCCATTGGTCAAGTTGGCCTTCTTAAAAGAATGGTCTACACTTACCTGGTTGTACTTCTTCCCACCTTCTCTTCTCAATGCTCAGCATCTGACTTCTGTACTCCACTGAAATTGTTCTCTTTAAAGGTATCTGGGAGCACCTGGGTGGCTCAAGTGGGTTAGGCATCAGCTCTTGATTTCGGCTCAGGTCAGGATCTCAGGGTTGTGAGATCAAGCCTCACACTGGGCTTCACGCTGGGCATGGAACCTGCTTAAGATTTTCTCTCTCTCTCTCCCCCTCTCCCTCTGCCCTCCTCCCTCCCTCCCTCTCTTTCTCCTCCTCTCTAAAAACAAACAAAAAAAACCCAAACCAAAAAAACCCCACACAAAACAAAAAAAACCCAAATAAATAAAAAATAAAGGTATTTGTTGATCATCCACTTCTTAAGTCAATGGGCCCTTTCAGTTTTGACTTTATTTGTCCCATCTACTGCATGTGGCCTCCAGACCATCAATTCCCTTCATACCCACCAATCGATTTTCTCCCTACTTTCATGGTTATTCCTCTCCAGTCTTTTTTGCAAGCTCCTTTCTTTACCTACGCCCTTAGTTGTTGACCTTCATCATTTCCAAACCCTCCATATTTTCCCTAGATGATCTCATCCACATTTAGGACCTCAAACACCACCTATGCGCTCATGATTTCCAAAGTCCTATTTACAGCTCAGACCTCCCCTGAAATCCGTATGTATATATTAAACGATTTCCATTTTGACGTCTTACAGGCATCTCAAACTGAACTGAACAGTTCCAAAACCAAACACATCTTATCCCCTTACCACTTCAAATCTGTATCTCCCCTTCATGCCTCCTGCCACTGCCTTAGTTCAGGTCGACACTTCTCTTCAGGTTTATTCCAATAGACTACTTCCCTGTACTACCTGCCTACGGAGAGCCCCATCAATCACACCAGAACGATCTTACTAAAAAGTAAATATAGTAAAGGGATGCCTGGTGGCTCAGTTGGTTAAGCATCTGCCTTTGGCTCAGGTCATGATACCAGGGTCCTGGTATTGAGTCCCACATTGGGCTCCTTGCTCAGCAGGGAGCCTGCTTCTCCCTCTGCCTGACACTCCCCCTGCTTGTGCGCAAGCTCGAACAAAAAATAAGTAAAACCTTTAAATAATAATAATTAAATTAAAAATTTGGGGGGGCACCTGGGTGCTTAGTCATTAAGTGTCTGCCTTCGGCTCATGTCATGATCCCAGGGTTCTGGGATCGAGCCCCACATTGGGCTCTCTGCTCAGCGGGAAGCCTGCTTCTCCCTCTCCCACTCCCCCTGCTTGTGTTCCCTCTCTCGCTGTCTCTCTGTCAAATACATATATAAAATCTTAAAAAAATAAATAAATAAATAAAATTTAAAAAGTAAATATAGTATGACCATGGTACTTCCAGGCTTAAAATTCCTCAATGAGTCCTATGAACTAGCTCAAATTTCATAGTCTGATCTACAGGCACCTAATAGGCTCTGTCTTACTCTCCAGCCTTATCCCTCCAGCACCTCAACTTCATTCCATACTCCTCATGAGGCTAATCTGTTGGTAGTCCTCTTGGTGTTCTATGCTCTGTGCCTCTGCACATATTCCTTTCTTCTCTGGAAGACTAATTCTTTCCCCCTCCCTTATTCTCTTCATCAAGCCAACTTGTCATTTAAGACTTAGGTAAGGCCATACCTCCTGCACCACCAGAACTCCCAGGTGCACCCCTTTGGGTGATTAGACAACACCCTGTGCTTAAAACTAGCTTTTGCATTTCTTACTTTTATGTTTTCATCTTCTTACCTATTTACTACTCCCATCAGGCTGGATCCTCAGGAGCTGGGACTCAGTCTAACACTGATACATAATAGATGTGTTAGGAGTGAATGAATGAAAATAGGGAATTGGGATGAGGCCATCAAAAGAACAAGTCCTAGAATTGTGAGCTCCTCAAGAGAAGAAACTTTGCTGCATTCTGTGTGGAATCTCAAAGGCCCAGAGTAGGGACTGGCACACCACTGGTGCTCAGTACATATGTGTAGTATGGCTGAATATATATTCTAGAGTCAAAGGAAAACCTTTTCCTAGACTTGCTTTCCATTACTAACCTTGGTTTGTGACCCACTTCTATTATAACACCAGTATGTTTTGCATGATTTCTACTGACCAAACTAATGTTCTTCTTTTTCCATTACAAAAAAAATAGTAAGAGCATTGACTAACCCACTAAAGGATTCCTTGGCATGAGTCCATGGAAGGGTTTCCTGAATTCCTTGAAATTGAATGTGAAATTTTCAGTGGATATAATAAAGTGCATTTTTCTGGCGACAGGGATTACAGTTTTCATTAAAATTTCAAAGATATTAATGCTATCCCCACCCCCCAAAAATCAAACTGCTTAACCAAAATGTTAAGCTGAATTAAGTTGTAGCATTCACCCTTCTCTTCTCCAATCTGTATTCTGATATATCACTAGCAACCTGGAGACAGTAGCTTCTGTTTAAACAAATGTACCTGCAGAAGACACAGCTCGCTGGCAGGCTCTCACATAAAGACCCCTACTAGAATTTGCATTTGAAATTTTCTACAATTAGGAAAACCATTAGCAGCGTTCTTAAAAGTTAGTACTCTATTCTAACATACTCTACTCATGTGAGTCAGGGTATTTATTATACTTCCTGATAATGTGTTCAAGAAAAAAATGTTACATTCTGATCATGACAAAGAAACAATTTTTACTGTCTTTTAATTAAATGAATTTAAATGGGGAGAAACCCAGAATCATCCAGATTTACAGGAAAACTTTTTTTTTCTTTTTCTGTATAGTGAACCGAACAGCAGAAGCAACATTTAACTCACCACTCAATTTAATCTTGGGAATAATATGCTAGTAATTAAGCAGTACAGTACAGGCAACTAAATCATCTTCAAAGAAATAAATTTCTATATGAATTAAGAGTTCTCTAGTTGATGTGAAGAAACTAGTCACAAAATAATTCAACTACACGATTCCATTCATAGGAGTTCGATAAAAGGCAGGACTATTGTATGGCAGTAAGACATCAAAACAGCGGTGGTCTATGGGATGGAAGAAGGGGCATGACGGCCCCTTTGGGGTAATGGAAAGGTTCGTTATTTTGACCTGGTTGGTGCTGACACAGGTGTTTACATTTAGAAAACTCGCTTAACTCCATACATAAAGTCTGTGTATTTTACTGTATGTCAGGTATTCCTCAGTAAAGATTTAAAAGAGAACATCCTTATTCTTTTTTCAACTAACACAACCAAAGCCAGATATTCTCGCTCCTGGAAGCTGTTTGTGGAGGACGACCCACGCGCTGAGACACTGGGCGCTCTGAAAACATTAAGATTACGGATTCGCCGGGAGCTTCCGCCGTCACCACGGTTTAGGCACTGCCATTTCGAGAGGCCCTGGAGCCACCCGTAACACCAAGGCCGGAGCGGGCGGCGCCGTCGTAAATGGGTGCCGCGGCCGGCCTCCGCTCAGCCAGCCACAGAACACCTGGCCAGCGAAAAAGGTATCCGCGGACAGTCAGCCACCAGGGCGTGCGAACTCCCGCCACGCTGCAGCCGGCTCCCCGCCGCTCGCCCGCGCCCCCCCGAGGCCTCACCGCCCTTCTCTCGGCGCCCCCGAGACCTCTCGGACCGCCCGCGGGTATCCCCGGTACCCCCAAACCGGGTCCCCCCACGCGCGGCGGAGTACGTCCTCGCCCGCCACCAGGCGCCGCTGTGGAGCCGCCTTCCAGAACTAACTCTGCGCTTGCGCTCACGAGGAGCAACCCCCCCCCATCCCCACCCGCCCAAAGTCTTTTTTTCAGAAGGAACCAGAGACTCGGTCGGCGCAGGCGCGCCCCTGACGCGGCCCGCGCGCCGCCACTTCCGCCCCGAGCAGAAGGCGGGGGAGGCGGGAGGGAGCCGGCGGGCGCGAGCCCGGGTCCTCGGTGAGGACTGTGGCTACTGCGCGAGCCCGCGACTCACCAAGTACAGTTCATGCCAGCGATTCTGAGCATCCAACTCCTCAAACTCCCGCTCGACGGTGGCAGACATGGCGGCGGGAGCGAGCTGGCGCGAGCGGAGCCTGCGCCGGCGGAGAGGCTCAGGCCCCGCACGATCCGGGGAGAGCGCTGGCGCTGCGGCGCATGCGCGCTCCGCGCCCTGCCCCGCCCCCACGCCGGGCCCGGCCGGCCGCGGGGAAAGTACCTGGAGCGTCGGACGTCAGCGCGCCGACTCGCGCCGCCGGGAGTCGGACGGCGGCGGGGCGGGGCGCCTGGAGGAGGCGTGTCCAGAGGGCGCCCAGGTGGAGAGAGGGCGGGGCCAAGGGGACCACCCAGAGGCCGCTGTCTGAGGAGGTTGGGCGCTAGGTGGCCCCTGGCCCGGGGGAGGAGATACAGTACCGCGAGTTTCCCAGGAATGGAGCGGACCAAGAAATTCCCTTGGGAAGACCTTACTTCTTGCTGTCCCTTTTCTCTTTTTCTCTTTAGTCTTAATTTTTTTTAATGCAGTATTTTCGTTTTATTTTAAACGTCATCTAAGTCAGTGTAGAGACCTGTGTCCAATTTTGAAACAAATTTCTCAGCTTCCTCAGAGAGTATAAACCAGCCCTGATGCCAGCTCTTGTATGCCTGAGGGTTTTGTGCCAAATAAGCCACTATAGTAAAAGGAGAGGCAACCTCTTCTGGAGTTATGGAGAATACATGTTGTTAAGTAAATGTCACCAACTTAAAAATCAATGTTACCTATAAAAAAAAATCTTTACAGCACAAACATGCTGGTTATGGAAATCATCTCTTCAGATTAAGATAATTCATTGTTGGTAAACCATATGCTTATAGTATTTTGTCACATCATCTTCTTAAGAAATGTGAAGGGTTAGAAAAATTTTAGCAGTGCTACCCAGTATTGACATTTAAATTTTTTCTTTTTAAAGATTTTTTTTTTCAAAGATCTTATTTATTCATTTGAGAGACAGCATGAGCAGGGGGAGCGGCTGAGGGAGAAACAGACTCCCCGCTGAGCAGGGAGCGTAATGTGGGCTTGATCCCAGGACTCTGGTATGACCTGAGCTGAAGGCAGAGGCTTAACCGACTGAGCCACCCAGTCACCCCTATTTATTATTTTTGAGGCGGGGACAGAGGGAGAGGGACAAAATCTCCAGCAGACTCCCTGCTGAGCACAGAGCCCAACTTGGGGCTTGATCCCAAGACCCTGAGATCATGACCTGAGCCAAAATCAAGAGTTGGAGGTTTAACTGACTGAGCCACCCAGCACCTGGATGTTTAAATTTTAATTAAAATGAAATGAAATGACAAAGAGTCACTCCTTGAACAAATTCTACTCAGGTTCCTCTGAGCACTTTTTCAACTAAGCATTGACTTTCGGACTTCCCTGTTCCTCTGCATTGTCTAATTTTAGCAAGAATCTTACTAAGTCAGTTTATCCAGAATCCCCCATTCTCAATATCTGATCACCCTCAATATTTAATCAGGTTCTTCATCTTCCACTATCCCCCAGGTGATATCTGAACACCCTGGCCTGCCTGCAGCAAAATCCTATTAGTTCAGTTTAGTCAGAATACCCCTGATGTTTTCTGTGTTAAAAACAAGACAAAACTCCTAAAATGGAGTTGCTTGCTAAGCCCCCTGTTACCAAACCTACACTTAATTACTGTTTCAGGTCTCCCAGAAATGGGATCTTAAATGAGTCAATTAGGAGTCACCTTATCAGCACTAGTTAGGTAATCTGTTGATAGACCCCTGCCATCCTCTGAAGGAAAGTAAACTTGCAATAACCAATCTCCTTTTTTCCTCATATAAGTAACTTGTTCCTGCCCCCTTCTTGCCTGTAAGTCTTTCAATTTGTACAGCTCCTCAGATCATTTCTGTCTACTAGATTTGATGATGCCGGATTCATGAATCATTGAATAAAGCCAATATTATCTTTAAAATTTACTCAATTGAATTTTGTTTTATAATACCTCTTAGTAATTTTCTATCCACTGACCCCCTCACCTTGCACCTTGACCATAAATTCCCACTTGTCCTGTCTGTATTCAAAGTTGAGCTCAATCCAAGTGTCCATCAACTGATGAATGGGTAAAGAAGATGTGTGTGTACACACACACACACACACACAGGAATATTACTCAGCCATCAAAAAGAATAAAATCTTGCCATTTGCAGCAACATGGATGGAGCTAGAGTGTGTTATGCTAAATGAAATAAGCCAGTCAGAGAAAGACAAATACCGTATGATTTCACTTATATGTGGAATTTAGGAAACAATACAGATGATGTTGTGGGAAAGGAAAAAGAGAGAGAGGAGAAGGGGAGGCAAATCATAAGAGGCTCTTAACAATAGAGAACAAACTGTTGATGTAGAAGGGTGGGTGGTGGATAGGCTAAATGGGTGATGAGTATAAAGGAGGGCACTTGTTATGATGAGCCCTGGGTGCTATATGTAAGTAATGAATCCCTAAATTCTCCTGAAACCAATATTACACTATATATTAAGTAGAATTTAAATAAAAATTTGGAAGGAAAAAAAAGTTGAGCTCAATCTCTCCACCACTGCAAAACCCATTGCAGTGGTCCCTATCCCTATTACAATAGACCCCCCTCACTGTGACTAAAGTCTTCCTAACTCATCATTTTCAACAAGTATCATGAATAATTTTTTCTTTCACAGAAAGTAAGAATTCAGTTCCTCGGTTGCACTAGCCTCATTTCAAATGCTCAATAGCCACATGTGGCTAGTGGCTAATGTATCACAGAGCACACATATCATCAAAGTTCTATTAGAGCTGTCTGAAAGGATTAAAATACATGGGTGAAAAAAAAAGTCCTTATATACATAGTGAAAATTTTTACCAGTAAAGATAGTAAGCTATGGGAGGTAGAAGAAATTGTAGTAACAGAAAATTAAACAGCCAACCAGCCTTTCTCTTTACATAGTGTAATTTACAAATACATGAAACCTCCTCCAGAAATACCCCACAATCTAATGGTCCCGGTTTCTGAAGTTCTGTCACGGAAACTGATTATTTATATTAAAGGCATTGTATCTCCTGAGATTGTCGGGAAGGAAAAAGTTTTCCTTCAACCCTTCCAGATTCTTCAGCTGTTTCTAATAATCAAATTAACTTAAAACATTAGCAAGAGAAAAACAAAGTTGATTATATACATATGGGGGCCCTATAAGACTATGATACTTAAGGGTGAGCCTGGCGATTGAGGCTCATGCCATCTTGAGCTAAGGAATAGGAAAGGGGTCTAGGCCTTCAAAGAGGAGGAGGGTGAGTCACAGAACAGTAAGAAGAGCAGATATTTGGTAATTAGTTGTTTATTCTGCCACACAGAAAAAAAATTATCTCTTGGTAAAAGCTCTCTTTCTGGGCCAAGCCTTCTACCTAAATTCTTTTAGGTAGTTTAAGGAGAGGTAAAAATTTTTCTTGAGTATGCTGGGTCTTGAGTGCCTTCAGCTGAAAATAGTCCACATGTCAAAGTAGCATATTTGGGGGGACTTATTCTGAACCCCTTCCCTCACACATTCAAAACTTCCCCAAGAATTTTCACAGTCTACAAGTTAAGCTCCAGCTCAATGAAGCAGAGTCTCAGTCCTGAGAGTAGGCTAGTTCAGTTAAACAGTTGTATCTCATTTCAAGAGACAGTGATGCAGGTGGGCTCCCAAAGTTAGGCCTATGGTGCAAGCAATCAAATATTTAATAAGAGGCATTTCTATGGGGAAAAAAAAGAAAAACAAAGGTTAATAATCAGAGCAGATTAGAATCCCAGTTTCTGAATTCTGAAGGCAGCTGATCAAGATTTCTAGATATCCAGCTTGAAGCATCTTTGGATAGAGTGAGGGCAGGCAGTAACAATCTGATAGATTTTCCTGATTTGCAGTTTGAATGTCTCTGGTGGTCTTTCTGAATGACCTACACAGCAGCAGCCATGAAAATTGTCTATACATGAATGATTGTGGTGATTTCTCTGAAGTGTATATCAAGTTGTCCAGCGTTAGTTGGCATGGCTTCGGGAAAAGGGCAGTTTTAGTTCTCAATGAATCCAAATCAAAAGGGTGGGAGAAAATCGGAAATGTTAGTTTGAGGAGTTATAGATGAATTTTGGAGTAAATTAGAAGAATGCAAGATCTAGTCCAGTTTTTGAGAAAACAAAATCTCAAAGACAATTAATAGCACTAGAATTTTATACCCAAAAAGGTATATTACTGAAACATAATTTTTCCTCTACAGTTTTGCTCATTTTTATCAAAGATAACTACAGCAAGACTAATTCATCTGCAAACCAAATCTAATTTCAATAAAGTTGGCCTGATTATTTACATAAGTGCATCAATGGTAGTGATTAACCATATAGGCTCTTTTAAATCTGCTTGGCTGGAAGTTTCCATAAAGAATCTAAGATTGAATTTTTAAAAGCCTCTTGAGGCTAAGAAGCCACACCAAGGACTCACCATTAGACTTTTCCTGAAATACCTATAGATTTGGGTGAATTCCTCTTTTCTCAAGGTCCCCAAAATATCCTGAGTTTCCTGTGCATGCCAGGAAGCAACCTTTCTTACCTTTCTTACCTGCTGCTGGGAACCCTATAAGCAAGGTACCAGGCCAATTTTTCCAATAGGCTTTATTGGCTCCATAGAGTCAACTTTAGTGCCTTAAAGCTATCTGGTTGTATCTAAATCTATTTATATCTCTCTCAAATATGACATTTAGTTAAAGCTTAGTATTATAATCAATGTTTCCAATTGTGTCCTATTACAAGGAGAACAGATTCTTATTGAACTTATGTCAATAACTATATTGCCATGAAAATAAGAATACTCACTAAGAGTTTCTGAATTCTGGAGGGATCCACTAGGGAGAAAAACATAAATATTTCAACTCTACTTATAAGGGGATAATTTACCAAATTTCTGTGCCATAGTTAGCTTGAGAGGAAAGATTCCCTTATATCTGGAAAGTACAAATTTTTATATCAGCAATATATTCTTTTTTCTTAAAATTTGTTTATTATTTATTTATTTTTAAGTAACCTCTACACCCAATGTGGAGCCGGCTGGAACTCACAACCTTGAGATCAAGAGTCATATGCTCTGCCCACTGAGCCAGGCAGGCACCTCAAGAATCAGCAATATTTTAAATACAAACTCATAAATAATTATAATTATC